TTTTTTTTTTTTTTTTTTGTGTTTTTTTGCTAAATATAAATTGAGATCAAGGGAAAAGAAAGTTACAAAGATAAAAATCAAACATCGAGACTTGATACACGCCGGTAGGCCTTATAATGTAGCTCGCCGCTTAGTCTAAAAATAAAAAGAAAACATCTCCTAGAGACTAGGTAAACCAAGACACAAAGAAAATAATTCTATTCCATCATTTCCACATTTGGGTCACTTAATGGCAATTCGTCCAAAAGACTTTCGCCCTAATGACGACTTTTTAATTTGTGCACAAAGAACGTAGGTAATTCCTAGATCCATATGCATTACTATTAAATTTGATTTGGGTTGGGTTGGATTATATTGGAGTTTTTAACCCGGCTCATGTCATATTTTGATTTCAAAAATTCATTTGAATTAGCTAGATTTTGTTCCGAAATTTTTAAACATCTTGGCTAGTGCAAGTTTTGCATACGCCAATTCCTTGAAACATCTTGGCTAGTGCTTTTGCTTTCTCAATGAAGGTAGTTTTCAAAAGAGCCAGACAAGCTTGACAAGTGAATGTAATTGGATGAGAGAGAAATCTGCAATGGGCGAACAGGGCAATACAAATCTGGAGGAAATTGTCCTTTGAAAGGCCTGTAGAGTTGACAAGTCTTTGAGCATGAAAGACATTTATTTACGATCAAATTAACCATGAATTCAACATCCACCACCCCACTACAGAGGACTTTGTGATGCTTTGTACTACTTCATTGGCCCTACTACAATTGATGTGGCCCGGGAATGTACGACTTATTTTATTTTCTTTTGTTTACAACATCGAGGTATAACAAATTTAATTTTTTAAACTGATTCGAATACTTTTGACTGTTGAATCTAAAAAAAAATCTGATTCTGATAAGAACACCATTGAAAAATGATGAGTGAAGTGTGAAAGAAGCTTATGTGAAGAGAAACTTATCCATGAGCTTCTAACCTTATTTATGGGTTGAATGCAAAGGAAATGTCTATTGGTAACACCACAGACTAGTTCCAAGGATGGATCAAAACGTCTGAAATATTTTTGTTTTCAAGGAAATCGAAACGAATTAGTATTGAAATCGAAATTCTAATACTTTGAAGTGTTTCATAAAAGTTTAAATTGTTTCAAAATATTTCACGATGTTTTGGTACATTT